GCGTTTTCCAGCGGCACAAGTGGAAACGACGACAACGACGACGACGACGACGACGACGATGATGATGCCGATGGAGAGGGGAGTACTCGATACTCCAGGAAATACAGGGAGAAAGGAGACCGCAAAGGCATGAAAACGTTTGCGAGTAACTGCGAGATAGCTTCCGCAAAGGATGTGCAGAGGATGCGCAAAATTATTGCGAGAACGTTTCGATACTTTGTGATTTTTTTTTCTTATGAAAAAATAATAGGATAAAACAAGTCTCTTTTTTTCTTTTCAATTCACCAAGGATCACGACGTTTTCGACGATTCGAACACTTTCAACTTTTTGCTATAATCTTGGATTCTCTTTATTGAAACGCACAGCTCCGAGAAAGCTCCAGCGTTAATTATTAATTTGATACAAAAGCAAAGTATTGTTATTCTTCTTCAGAACTAGGGAATAAAAAGCATCGTTTGTCGCGTGATCGCGAACTACTTGAATTAATTGAATAAAAAGCGTGCAAGCTGTCGTAGACGAAGCTTGAAAGCAGCGGGATCAAAAGCGAAGGAGTTTTCTGTTTTGGACGAACACGGGGACCGTCTTGAAGAGGGTAGCTTTCTCTTTCTCTCTTCTCTTGTTCTCTTCGTCTTCTTAACGTTTTCATATTTTTGCTCTTCCTTTTTCGCCGCAGCAACATACGAAAGACGAGTACGTATATCGAGACTCTCCGAGGGAGAAAGACCGGAGGGTGAAGAACCGGGGGTTGCCATCTACTCGGAATTCAGAAACGATCAATGCTTCAGGAGAACCCGCCGCCACCTCCCCCATCTCCTTCTCCACCACCTTCTCTTCCTTCACTTCCTAGCCCTCCTTTTTTGTCTTTTTCTATCTTGACTCGCTTCTTGCACTTATCGATAAAGAATGAAAAGGAAGAGAAGAGCTGGGCGCTATCCTTCCTTATTCTTATTTCGCTACTACCCTTATGCGTAAGAGCAACCCCCGCACGATGAGGGGAGGTTGATTCGTCGTCGGCAAAATGTCGTGCTGACAGCCGACTCCACGTGGTAAAGCGGAGGTCGAACGATTTGCCAAACTTCCGGATTTCTTGGAAGGCGCGCCCGTCCCTATCACCTGCCGCGCCAAAACTTGCCGAATGGTTTTTCCGATGGAAATTCCTACGATACTCTGATACGTAAGGAGATGAATTCTATCGGCTATTGTCATACAAATTTGTATTTAAAAAATGACAAAATGTTGAACAAAAAAATATGTGTAAAAATACAAGCTGTTATTAAAAAAAAATATTAATGAATGCAGCGCTAAATCGTAATGAAATCTTTATAATTTTTTAATTACTGTTGGTTGTTTCAAGATAATTCAAATAAATATTATACATAATCCAATTTTTTTTGAGATAATTATTTGATCATCGATCAAATACATTACATGTTTGTGACAGAGAGAGTATTACCCGCGATAAACGAGAAGAAAATATAAAACAACTGCGAGTGTTATTTCGGAAATGTGGTCGCTAAGTTACTCACGCGATTACTCGCGACAACTACGAGGTACGCTTCCTCGTTTTACGCGACGGAGCAGGACAAATGTGCGGAAACGCGACGATTTGCCAAACTTTGGAAACTCTCGTCAGGAATTACGGTTAAGAGACCATCGTTAGTTCGAAAGCTGTGGAACGTTTGAAGCGTTAACCCTCCCAACGGTCGTGAAAACTTTGTTAAATACTATCTCGTAGATATTTCACATCGGAAATGTCGATCGGCTTTGCAATTCTGCAAAAGTTAGCCGCAAATATGCGGCTGAAAAATTTATGAAGAATGTACGATTTATCCGACAAAGTTGTCTCTACAAACGTAGTAAAGCGGTAGAAATATTCCACGAGTTATTTTAATGCAATAAATATATAGAATAATCATCCCTAAGAGCAAAAACCAGAATGTTTTTACTTTGTTTATAAATTATATAAGACGAAGATTTGTTTCTATTTTCCACAGAAACTCTTAATATTGTAAGTAGATTTAAATTACATGCAATACAAATTAATAAAATATGTATCATTTGTATAAAAAAATAAATTTTAATTTTGTAAATCAAGTCACATTGATTTATTTGTAGAACATACATATCCAAAAATTATTTTCATTACATGCACTAATATAATTTTCCCAACAAAGTAAAAGTAATATTCCGCTTAATGTTAACGTTAATGCTCAAAGAATAATCAAATTAACGTAATAAAAATGTTCTGCCCACCCAACTCTAATCACCAACACCTCACAGCTTTAAATTTGCTTGCTTTGATGACTTTAAGAGCTAAATGAACTAATTAACATCCACTTTACACACTGCCATAATAACACAAGAAAGTGTACTATAAAAAACTCCGAATTTTACAGGAAAAACAATTTTACATATTTATACGCTAATCACAGTAATTATACACGAAATAAAAAGAAACAAGACAAATGAAAAATTACTAGCTCATCTCTCTCAACTCTCAAAATAAATAGAAAAGGAAAGCACCTAATTTGTTACTTGAGTTACTTCGACTTGGCGTAAAACAGGCATGAAGAACAGACGAGACAGTTTCTATGAGCAATAATTCGTGGCCCACGCAGGAGAATAAGGAAGAACGGATTTGTCATCGGCTGTGCGAGGCGAGGTCGGAAATACGATTTGTACGTGCGATCGATCAAAACAAGCCTTCGTCTCTTGGCACTGCCACGACGGCGGTCGCTCTATTCGGGATGATTCGATGAGCTAACGCCAACTTAACGCTACACACCCCACTGAGCTGCACTCGGTCAGATAACTCGTGGATTTTCGAGCACCCTGCAGATTCCGCCGATCGCTTCCTCACTTGTGGATTCCGCGTCGCGACGTTTAATCCACGCTACTGCTCGCGTTTCAAAATCTTCGCGAGAATTCTTTATTTGCGCCGCGAAGAACATTCGAATTGTATTTGCAGGTGTCATTAACTTGAAAATGTTTTTATATTTTTCTATAGGTATCTTAAAGAATTATTAAAATTTTAAGCAATAACAAATTAAAATAATCTAAAATAAATATGGCTTATTTTTCTCGCCGTTTACCGAGAATGATTAAAAGAATAATGTTAAAGAAGTAAAAAAATAATTATGATTTGAGAATTCAAATTTAATTTAAATTTAAGTAGTTCTTTAAGAGAGAATCGTCAATATATTCTAATATATTCAATATATTCGAAGATTTATATATTATGACATCTACATTCGTAAAGATACAATTATAACAAAATGTAGAAATTAAAAAGATAAAACATGCGAATTATCTGATAACGATACTGCGTTTGAAGGCTTTTCTTGAGCTTGGCGTTTTAGTTAAATTATACGATGACTACCGAGAGGATGTCAAAGGACAGAAATTATGATCGGCGCGGTGGAGGTATGGAAGATCCCGCGGAAGGAACGAACGGAGGATTCGGAGGACGTAGCGAGGAGCGCTGGAAGGCGTAAGAGAATGGAAATCAATACGTGAAGTGAGCAGCCAGTTTCAGGCAGAAGTTGCCGGCTTTAGAAAGCCTTGAGACGTCGTCTGCCCATCCTCTTCGGACCCTTGTGTTAAGAGAGCTCGAGCAGGCGAGAGCGAAGGAAGCGCTAGTGACAGAAAGTTAGAGGAAGAGAGAGAGTGAGAGAGAAAGAGAGAGAGAGAGAGAGAGAAGGAGGGAGAGTTCCATTCAGGACTAATGGGGTTAAACGCCTTAGCCATCAACCGAACGCCTCCCTCTTGATTCTCGGACGTTTCGATTCGTCCGGGGCTAGAATTCGAATTATCCGTAATATCTCCGAACATAGTTTACGTTCGTCGAGACTGCGTCCCGCGAATTAATAGGAAAAATGCGTAAAACCGCGCTACAAGTGAAATTATTTCAAGAACCATCACCGTTAATCATCATCATCATATTACGCTTTAACATTCTTTGAATAGTGATTTCAAGAATTTCTCATTTAAATTAGGAAATTCTTCATCGATTTAATAATTTATAAAAAATATTTTCTATGCATTTATAAACAGATCGCAGACATTACCAAAGAAGCGAAAAAATTATCAACTTGAATTAAATATATAGAAAAGTAAGCGTTTCACATATACGAAACATCAGTAAAGTTAATACAAAGCCCCCCTAATCGCAATAAGAGAATTCGTCGCACGTGTAGCAGTTATGTGCCATTGACATTTCGTAGTCATCGGCCAGAAATCGTTAAGTTTTATGCTTCAGGCGGAGTTCCGCTCCCCATAAAGATTTTACCATAATCGTTCTTCTGATAGGCTGTCGTAATGGAATAACGGATTGAAAAATAACGTACGGTCAAAGTTCATAAAAAGGGATACTCGGGAATCTTTCGATATACTCTTTGCTTATCACTATATACAAACCTGTATAAATTTTCTTATCGCACAGCTTTTTAAAGATATCAACTTTTACTCGGACTTTTAACTTGCTCTAAAAAGCTTATATATCTGATTCGACAAGATTCAATCATCGTTTCAATTTATATTATATGAGCGACAGTTTTTCATTAATCTATGTATTTTTAAATCTTAAGAGAATTAAGAGTTAAAAGCTACAAGCTAAAGATTTGATAGTTGGAATTATTTATGCGAATATATAAATATACATATACGAAGTCACACGCAAAAATAATTTTTTCAAATAAAAACTTTTGCATAAAAAGATTAATCAACTGGTTCGAAATTAAAATAATATATCGTTAATTTCAAATATTCCGTACAATTAATCTAATATTGTATAATATTAATTAGAATTAATTATAATAATTTTCATAGTTATGGTTTTTCCGCATATTATGCTTTTTTTATAAAACTTTTATTATTATCTCTGTTCATACACTTGTAAAATTATTTCTGGCGCGCAGACCGATCGATATAGAAATGAATTTTTGAAATAAACTTTTTAATTCATTAATTAAAAATTATAATTTATATTTGAGGCACTTACCTTTGTGTGCCATGTCGTCAGCAGTGACGGAGGCTATGAGGCCGGTGGCGCCCGGCCATGGAGCGACCGCAGCGCCCAGCTGCTGCGAAGGCAGAATCTTCGGGCCTTTGAACACTTCCGTTCACTGAAATCATAATTTAAAAAATGCATTTTAAAAAATATCAAAAAATTAGAAAAAATTTCGATATTCTACACAACAATAATAACGCTTTCCCGCGTTCGAAAAATTAAATTATTATTAACCATTGAATATACGCGATTAACGGTAAAAAGGAACAGAAGATCCAGCTTCGTGAAACGGAATTTCAAGAAATTAATAAGACGATTAATAAAAAAAATTGCGCGGTTCGTTCTGGAGATACTTGGTAGTTTCGACGACTCGCCCAAACTGTCTCGTCGCGTACGAACGTCGCACCTTAGTTGGACGTCGTATACTCAAAAACTGTGCCTATCCACCTGTGTAAATCTGCGTCATTTGCATATCGCGGGTGGCGCATGTGTGTCGTCGCGATCGCCTTGAGTGGGCAAATAAGCGCGACTGATCTCTTTTCGCGCCGTGTTATCTCTAAACGCGTGGTCCCTATCCTACCGCAACGTGTATCTATAGCCAGTATATACTTTAACCTTGCGTCATACAAAGCGCATAAAGAAAGACAATAAGATCAGATGTGCTTTTAATGGCAAGAACATTTGTTGCTTGTTGATCATCGTACATGTAAAATGTTATTTAAAACTTTATCTTCCACGAGAACAATAAGTACGAATATATAAGAGATACATATTTGAAAAAAATTAAAATTATTGAAAACAATTGAAATAATTATTTCAATCAATAAGCTAAAAGGTTCAATTAGTAAGTTGAAAAATTTAAAATTTATTTTTAACAGCAAAATAAAAAAAAAATTAATTGCGTTAATAATTTGTATCAGCACTAGTCTATATGTATGTATGCGAATTAATTTTTATATTATAATGCAATTTCAAATACATAGCGTAAGCTGAAAATTGTATGTAATCGTTTTAAGCGTCGCAACATTGACGACATGAAGTGTCTTAATTATCGAAGTTCGTGTTCGTTGAAGATGTGAACTACTTGGAAACGTAACACCCTCCGTGTACCTTTCTCTACCACAGACAAAAAAGGGTGAAACGAAAGCTCGCAGTGCTACAGGGAATGAAAATGGAGTTGAGTGTGATAATTAGTGTCGGAAAGAGTTAGTCAGCTGAAAGCGTACAAGTTGTATCATTTCATAAGCTTCAAATACGTAGCAAAGCAATATGTAAAAAAGCTTAAATTTAAAAAGTAAAATTCAAGTTCTGTCGCTAAAAACATTTCAAAAAATGTATTGTAAGAATTAAGAATAATATTCGAAATTTTCATGTACTTAAAATCAAGATCTTTTTTAAATGTATGTATTGAGAATTATCAATATCTTATATATTATAAATAAGAGTAGAAATCATAGCACACTAGAATAATGTGAAATAAAAAGAGATATATTTAATGATAAAATAAGATTTCATGATGACTCATTCAGATATATATTGGAACTAACACAATTTCATTTGTGCAAGATCTTAGCAATATTTATTCATAAATATGTAATGTTATTAATATGTAAATTTTGTAATATGTTTCTCTTTCTCATGATTGCGAGCAACAGAAAAGCATTTCAAAGAATAAAGACATTTCTTTACGAGAATGTTTACGTAAGGCTCATTGATTCGAATCAAAGTTACGTAATAATTTATAATATAATTCACTTCCGCAAGTTATCGTAATGAGATTCAACACAAAAGCAGTGCGTCTGCAAGACACTCCCTTTTTTCCCTTTCATTATCCAGGATGCTCTTTACGTTGCAGCACAGAGAAATGCTTTCTCACACGAAGAAGAGGTCGAAGAGATGAGATACAACTGGAAAAGGGAAAAAAGCCCAACGAGAGAAGCGCGAAAGACACGTACATGTTTATGTATATGCACATAGAGATAGATAGAGAGCAAGAGAGAGAGAGAGAGAAGGAGAGGGAGAGAATAGAGCGCATCGCCTTCGCATATTGTGCAAGAGGATTACCTCGGATTATGCCCGACTGAGCGCAAACAGGATCACGTCGCTTCTGTTTGCAAGACGCCAAGCTGTCGATTTAGTGAACTCAAACTCGACTCTGCCTCGCGCGAAATCGCCATCAGAACAGCGACTTTTCAAGAAGTTTCCACGTTTTTCTTTATTTTATTAGTCACATACCATTTAAGTAACGATAAAATTAATAAAGTCGCCAGTGATGAGTAAAACTATACAAATTTATCGAAATTTCGACCTAACTGGCCAGTACAATTTAATTAGAAACACTACGTTTCGACCCTTAGGTACGGGTCCTTTTCAAGTGTAACTGCATAATAAAAATATACAATGATTAAGATATGACACAATAATTTACAAAGTTGTTAACAAAACAAAATTTTTTTAACGCAATACTCAGAAGGGGGTGGTTAGAAAGGAAATTTAGATATCTGCCAGAAAAAGTAGGTTTTCTGTACCAATTGGTCAACAATGTCCCCTAAAAAACTTAAGCAAAAATGTGAGTATTGCGTTAAAAAAATGTGGCCTCGACATTGTTTATACTATCCCGAAAAAATTAAATAGATTAATCAAGAGAGGTAAAGATAAGATCAACCATATGAAAAAAACTGACGTTGTGTATCTGATAGAATGTAACGATTGCAATGCAACATATACAGGGCAAACAAAAAGACAATTAGCTACACGCGTAAACGAACATTGTAGAAATATTAAACAACATTATAGCAATTTTAACGTAATTAGCAAACATCGAAAAAAATATGACCATAAGTGAATGGAACCTAGGATTTTGCATGGCGAAAAACATAGAAGGAAGAGAGAATTAGCGAAGATGTTTTTTATTAAAAAATATAAAAATAACATTAATTTGCAAAAGGAAATCTAAATCCGATTTATAAGTTGATCCACAGTATATGATTGTCTATTTATTTATTTATTTATTTTGTTGTATTGTCGAACTTTGATATTATTGTGTTTTTAACGTTTGACTTAAATTGATTTACTTGTCTCCGGTTTAACATTAGTAATTTTACTGCTGTCGAATCAACATCTTGAAAGGTACATTACATTATTTTTATATTATTTTAAATTTCTTCGTTAACAACTTTGTAAATTATTGTGTCATATCTTAATCATTGTATATTTTTATTGTGCAGTTACACTTGAAAAGACCCGTACCTAAGGGTTGAAACGTAGTATTTCTAATTAAATTGTACTGGCCAGTTAGGTCGAAATTTCAATAAACATACCATTTAAGTTTGACAAGATCAAAAATGTCGCGAGTTAAGGGAAAATTGATTACAAACTTCTTGAATTTATTTTAGAGAGAATTAAATGTAAAGACACGTATCATTTAATTTCTCAAATAAAATACAAGAATAATTGTTTCTTTTTTGTCATTAAATATTTTGATATATACTTTTGATAATTAAGCCGCGAATAAATTTTCTTTTAATTAATTTAAAAAATCCTGCAACAGAATTATTCTATAACACAATAATTTAATTAATTTTTAAGTAAATTAAAATAAAAGAAGATGCAAAGTGAACACTTCGATTACCGTTCAGCGAAATACAAATGCTAGAAAGATGTATCATTTTTAAACTAAAAAAAACGGGAAAAAATCTTGCAAGAAAACTCGAAACTTTGAAGCACGATCACAGATCGCTCGTGGATCTCCGGAGGGATATGTGCCTTCACGGAGGAGTGCTACTTGGTAGTTATCGCGCGACACAAGTTCGAACACTTCTTGAACATACCGCAAACACAATACAGCGAGACGCGACGCGACGGGACGGGAAAGGCAGCATTATACACGCGAATGGTAATAGGCTCCATATCCACGAGAGCTGCCGGCGCATTATGCTTTACATTTCCGGGGAAACACTGTTAATGGCACACACCGCCGTCGCTACCGCGACTACCGTCGAAATCCACCCCTGTAATACACGCCCAACAGCCCCCGCAGGCATTAACCGCTCGCGCTACCGTATAAAGTGACTTCCGCCCGCGATTACATTCGTCTCATGAGCACGTACACAAGCGTTTGTGCATTAATTATTAATTACGCCGGTGAAGAATGAGAGGCCGCATATTATCCGGAGATAATGACTGTTTCGCGTAATCGAGGACGATCGAGAGATAAATCGTTTTAATGTAACGTACGCAGCTTTGTGTGGAATTAATTTATTTCATTTGAAGTATCTGTTATTTTTATGTTGCTTCTTTTTTTTTATATTTAGACACACATTTAACATTTTCTTATCGCAAATCTTATGTAAATGTTTTTTATGTATTATCTCTTAGGTATATCTGATATACATATGTACAATGGGTCGTTATGTAATCACGAATTTACGTCATGTTATTTTGATAAACGCACATCCCTTTTTTATATTCCAAAAATAGCACGGGAATGGAAATTTTGACACATGCATGAATTTATATAATCACGATAACTTAATAATCTTATAGAATATTAATCAATCTTTTATAATTGTATTTTTGCCAAATTATTCCTGTATATTAAAAAAAAATCTTGAAAGATATTTTCAATATCTTTGAATACATATTAGAAGATATTTTCCAATATTTTTTTAATCTACAAAAGTCATTTAACAAAAAACAATTATAAAAGATTGAACAATATTTCTATAAAATAAATTTGTCGTGATTATTTTATATAAATTCATGCATATGTCTTCTGAAACTTTCATTATATATTATGCTATTTTCTAAATATAAAAAAGGGATATGAATTTATGAAAATAATAATTATGTAAATTCGTAGTTATATGTATAACAATTTAGTTGTATACATAATACATATATCAGATTTACTTAAGATTTACCTTTCAAATAATATGTTTTATCGATTCTTTTGCCCCATATTATTTTTCCTTATTTTTAAAGACTTAGACTTCATAAGCTGATAAAATTATACTTGCAGAAAAATGTATAAAAAATTTTTAATTGCTCTATATAATAACAGCGGAGAGAATATGATCAATAACATTTTACATTGCATTTTACTTCGATATCGAT